GGGCGTGATTTAGCATACACACACACATACATAAACATATGTATATATTTTTCACATATATGTATATATATGCAATCATATAACTTCTACAGGAATTATATTACTGTGTATATTACATTAGAAAATATTTATAATTCAGTTGAATAGCTCCTTTCATCAAAAAGAACTAGATAATTAACTATTTTTTTATTTGGCTTCAGTTATGTGGCTAATGGAGAAGGAAATGGCAACCCACTCCAGTATTCTTGACTAGAGAATCCTGTGGATGGAGGAGCCTGGTGGGCTGCTGTCCATAGGGTTGCACAGAGTCAGACACGACTGAAGCGACTTACCATGCATGCATGCATGTGGCTGATAGCTCTAGTTTTCCATTTCCCTCTGTGCATTTCTTTATGTGTGCATCTGTGGAGTCAATTTATTTAATGCAATAAAACCTAATTAAAAAGTTTTTCTAGATCACCTTTTCAATTATATCAATGCAACAGAATATATTTTGAGCACTCATTATGATACTGGGTAGTTCTCTCTCCTTTTAAGAGTAAGGACCTGAAAAATAGATCCATGTCCTTCAATATCACATATTTCTTAACTACTTATATTAAGCATTTGGGTTTAACTGTATCACTGTCCCCATAGTTTAAAAATTATAACAAAGGCCCAGTCAAATAGTCACTAAACTTTAGAGTTGTAGTGAACTCTATGGGTTGTTTAACCCAGATTCTTTATTTTATGTATTTTAAAAGGAGCTGTGTGTGTGTGTGTGTGTGTATTATAAAATATAAAATTTAAAAAATTACAACAAAATGCTTGCTATTAAAGGATTGAAATTTGTAACTTTCAGAATTTTCTGTGACATTTTAATGAGAAAGGAAAAATTATACTTTACTTAATTTTAAAGTTTCTCTTTGCACTTTTATAACAGCATCCCTCCTTGGGAAAGAATCTTCTAAAATTGTCTGGAGTAGCCTCTATGGGATAATGGTTTATAAATACATTTTAGTTAGTTCAGTGGTAATTAGTGACACATGAGTGAAGAACCATATTTTAAGTTCATGGATACTGAGCTTAGTGAATGATGTTTTGCTTTATAAGAGTCTGTTGGGGGCTGTTATGAATAATAATGAGGAAAGAACATATATTTGCATCTATAGTGAATGCCCCCTGGCAGCAAGGCCTTGAGAATCCTCAGTGGCCCTGTACACTGAGTGACATTCCAGACTACCCTCCCCAGCACAGCAAAGCTGCAATCAGCGTATTGCTGCAAGGATCATTACCTTTTTGACACCACTTTCATTGCTTCTTTCATTCTAAATTTCTCTGAGAATGAGTTTTATTCATTTTATAACTATAATACATCTAGTTTTGACACTTTTTATCAGTAATTACAAAAGAAGCAGTCGACTGGAATTTGGAGCAATTCAGATATCGTCTAACTCAAGTGTAACTCTTGCTTTTGGAGAGTTCCCTGTCTGAAATAGGACCAGCGCACTTTCCTACTTTGTACACTAAGGCCTAGGGAGAGTATCTGCTCCAAATCCCCTCATTAAGGCAACTTTTGGACCTCATTAAGGCAACCATTTCTAAACCAACACCTTTCCCATCCTTCTCTGTGTTCTTTCCCTGTTTATGTTTTTTCTGGCACACATCACTCCCTGACACACTATTTAATTATTAATTCTCTCAATCATTTTCCAGTGGAAAGTAAGCGTCATAAAAACAGAATTTTGCTCACCTTTGTATCTTTAGTTCTAGAACACTGGCTGACACATCATTGTTGGATGAATAAAAAATGATGAATTATAAGAACTTTGAAGCTAGTTATATATATTCTCTTATGGTTCACAATTCCAAAATAGATTTCAGCATTTATTCCTATACTAATTGAATTCGGACTATGTGCTAGGCATTATGACAAGTGAAGATGAATAAGACAGAATTCTTGCCCACATAGAACTTACTGACTCATGTGCTGTGCTTAGTCTCTCAGTTGTGTCCAGCTCTTTGTGACCCCTTGATCTATAGCCCTCCAGGCTCCTCTGTCCATGAGGTTTCTCCAGGCAAGAATACCGGAGTGGGTTTCCATGCCCTCCTCCAGGGGATCTTCTCAACCCAGGGATTGAACCTAGGTCTCCTACATTGCAGGTGGATATTCTTTACCATCTAAGCCACCAGGAAAGTCCAAGAATACAGGAGAGGGTAGCCTATCCCTTCTCCAGGGCATCTTTCTGACCCAGGAATTGAACTGGGGTCTCCTGCAATGCAGCCAGATTCTTTACCAGCTGAGCTACCAGGGAAGCCCTGATGACTCATAGGATGTTCCATTAATCTGATTTTCTGAGGATGGGTTTTAAGACTGCATAACTGGAAGTTTCCATTACCTATAAAGTAAAGGGCTCGATTTGAATGTCCTGAAAGATGCTTACTACTAATCCCAGAATAGAGTTATTTTTATGAGTTAAGCCATTGTTTATGTCAAGTAGTGTTGAATGCAAACATGTTAGCAAGGGGTGGTAATTTATTAATACAATGACATTTAAGTAGTACATTTCCATTAAAATTTTTTTATTTAACTAACTTCTGTACCAGGTGAGCCTGTATCTATAATCAAAAAATACTTAGAAGTGGCACTGGAGAAGATCAGGTTTGTGGAAGGCACAGGCTAAGGACTGAGGGAAGTCTAGGCGGAGCACAGTTCTGTCAGGAGTCTCAGTCTTACCACGAATGAGGACCTGGGCTAAGCAGGGAAAAAACATGAGGCCAGAGCACCTGGCAAGCAGGCATTACAGGGAAGGGAAATTTATGCATTATCATCAAACTCTATGGTAAATTCAGATATTAGAAGTCATCCAGGTCAAACCTGCATCTTTAAAAAAGAAATTGTTTTAATTGAATGAAAGATTCTTTATAGTGCTTTAAAATTTTCAAAAGTTTCACACACACAATTTCATATAATCCCATAATGACCCTTTTTAATCCCCTACCCCTATATTACTTCCCCATCCCTTCCCCCCACTGAGAACCTCTAGTTTGTTCACTATATTCATGAGTCTTCTTTGAAAAAAAATTTTTTGTTCACTAGTTTGTTGTATTTCTTTTTAGATTCTATATACAAGTGCTATTATACAGTATTTGTCTTTCTCTGTCTGATTTATTTCAATTAATTTCACTAGCATGATGTACTCCAAACCATCCATGTTGCTGCAAATGGCAAAATTTCATTCTTCTTTTATGGCTGAGACATATTCCATTGTGTACATGTGTGTGTGTGTGTGTGTGTGTATACATACACATATATATGTATACACACCCCACCTCTTTTTTATCCATTCATGTTGATGGCCACTTTCATTGCTTCCTTTCCTTGGCAATTATAAATAATGCTACTATGAACATTAGGGTGCATGCATCTTTTCCAATTAGTGTATCTGTTTTTGTCAGATGTATATCCAGGAATGGAATTGCTGCGTCATATGATTGCTTCCCTGCTGGCTCAGATGGTAAAGAATCTACCTGCAATGCAGGAGGCCTAGCTTCAATCCTTGGGTTGGTAAGATCCCTGGAGAAGGAAATGGGAATGCATTCCAGTATTCATACCTGGAGAATTCCATGGACAGTGGAGCCTGGCAGGCTACAGCCCATGGGGTCACAAAGAGTCAGACATGACTGAATGACTAACAACTTTCACTTTCTTCCATAATACTTCTATTTTTAGCTTTTTAAGAAACCTCTATACTGTTTTCCATAGTGGCTGTACCAATTTACATTTCTACCAACAGTGTAGGAGGGTTGCCTTTTCCCCACACCCTCACCAATATTTGTTATTTATTTTCTTTATGGTGACAGCCATTCTGAAAGATGTGATATCTCACTGTGGTTTTGATTTGCATTTAGTTGGTGATTAGCAGTGTTGAGCATCTTTTCATGTGCCTGTTGCACATCTTTGGATGTTTCCTCTTTGGAAAAAATGTCTATTCATTTTTTTTGTCCATTTTGTAATTGAGTTGTTTGTTTTTTGATGTTGAGTTCTATTAACTGTTCATATATGTTGGATATTAACGCCTTATCAGTCGTATCATTTGAAAATATCTTCTCTTATTCAGTAGGTTGCCTTAATTTTGGTTTTGGTTTCCTTTGCTGTGAAAAAGTTTGTAAGTTTAATTTGATCTTGTTTGTTTTTTTGCTTTCGTTTCCATTTTCTCTATGAGATGGATCAAAAAAATTTTTGCTGCAATTTATGCCAATAAGTGTTCTTCCCGTTTTCCTCTAGGAATCTTATAGTATCTGGTCATAAATGTATGTCTTTATTCCATTTTGAGTTTATTTTTGTATATAGTGTTAGAGAATGTGCTGGTTTCATTTTTCACAAGTAACTGTCAAGTTTTCCCAGCACCATTTGACTGAAGACACTGTCTTTTCTCCATTGTTTATTTCTGCCTTTTTTNGTGGATATCCAGTCTCCCCAGCACCATTTATTAAAGACTACATCTTCTCTCCATTGAACTGTCTTGACACTGTATTAAAAAATCAACTGACCATCCATGTGTGAGTTTAATTCTAGGCTCCCTGCTCTATTCTGTTGGTGTACATGTCGTGTTTATGCCAGTACTACACTGTTTTAATTACTGTAGCTTTGTAGTAACTTAAATCCTAAATTTGGAAGTGTGGGTCTTCCAACTTTGTTTTTTTTTTCAACATAGGTTTCCCAATTTGGGGTCCTTTGAGTTCATATAAATTTTAGGGTGGGGATTTCTGTTTCGGCTAAACATGCCACAGGGATCACACTGAATTTGTAGATTGCTTTGGGTACACTGGCATTTTAACGTCATGAAGTCTTCCAAACTAGGTACAAAGGATGTCTTCTCATTTATTTATTTTTAAAATTTCTTTCAGTAGTGTTTTGCAGTTTTCAGTAAGTCAGTCTTATACCCCATAGTTAAATTTACTCCAAAGTTTCTCATTATTTTTGATGCTGTTGTAAATGGAATGTTTTCTTAATTTTGTTTTTGGACTGTTCATTGCTAGTGTATAGAAATACTACTGATTTTTTTCCTGCTGAATTTATATCCTGCAACTCCGCTGAATCCATTTGCTAGATCTAATATTATTTTGTGGAATTTTAAAAAAAATTCTTTTTGGTCATGCCATGTGGCATGTGGGATCTTAGTTCTCCAACCAGGGATAGAACCTGTGCCCCCTGCAGTGGAAGGGTGGAGTCTTAACTACTAGACTCCAGGGGAATCCTATTTTGTGAATTCTTTATGGTTTTCTCCGTGTAAGATCAAATCATCTGAGAACATGATAGTTTTTCTCTCTTTCCAAGCTGGACTGAGATTTTCCTGGTGGATCAGTGGTTAAGATTCTGCACTTCTCCTGCAAGGGGCATGGGTTCAATTCCTGGTTGAGGAGCTAAGATCCTGCATGCTGCAGGAGTGGACAAAACAATTTTTTTTAATAAAAAATTTGAAAATGAAAATGAAAACAACCTGGATACATTTTAGTATTTCTTTTCCTTTCATAACTGCTAGAACATCTAGTAAATGTAAATCAAAGTGGGAAAAGTGGGCATCCTGGTCTTGTTTCTGATCTTAAGGGAAAAGATTTCAATCTTTTACCCCTGAGTATGATGATGGCTGTGGGTTTTTTACACAGGACCTTTATTACACTAAGGAAGCTTACTTCTATTCCTGGTTTACTGAGTTGTTGTTGTTGTTGTTGTTTTTAAAATCAGAAAGGGTATAGGATTTTGTCAAATGCTTTTCTGCACAAATTGAGATATCATGTGTTCTCTTTTAACATGATGTTATATTACACTGATTTTTCTTATATTGTATGATCCTTGTATGTTGAGGGTGACTCTCACTTGTATAATCTCTTTAATCTGCTGCTGAATTTGGTTGCTAATACTTTGTTGAAGAGCAAGACTTTTTTAAAACCAAAAACTTTAACTTATGGCTCTGATATAGAATTTCCATTTGTAAAAAAGATTATTCCCTATCATGACAGAAGAGATCTACTACTGATTAACGGGGAAAACAGGACAGAAGATCAAGTCCCAGGACTCCACAGGAATGCACATTTTTAAATTTAGTAACTTAACACATCAAAATTTAATGGTTGATGTCTGGTTGTTGTCCAAAGGTAGAGACAAATACTTTATTCATAAGCTTATGAATATAATCATAATTATATATTCATTTTCACATGAACAAATGAATACCTAATCAAAAGTGGTTAAACTACTAACATCATCTGTGTTTCTAAATCTTAACTGGGTTTTTTGTTTTCAAACAAAAATCAAACCATTACCTTAAATGTTTTATAAAAAGCGGCATCCAAAGCTTGTAGAATTTCTTCATCGGGGCGCCACTTCAGTTTTCCTCTGAGCCCATGACCTGTCTTATAAGTTTCTAACGCAATTAAAACATGAAATGGATGTATACGAGCCTAGAGCATGACAGAGACAGAAAGCAAATGTCAAATTCAAGTGAAAAACAGTAATCATGTCTCTTAGATTTTTGTTATTGTAGCTAATAGATCTATTTCATAAAGAGAAAAATGAGGACATATTAAACTTAGATTTCAGAGTCAGTGCAATATGGTACAGAGAAGGCAATGGCACCCCACTCCAGTACTCTCGCCTGGAGAATCCCATGGATGGAGGAGCCTCATAGGCTGCAGTCCATGGGGCTGCTAAGAGTAGGCCACGACTGAGCGACTTCACTTTCACTTTTGACTTTCATGCATTGGAGAAGGAAATGGCAACACACTCCATTGTTCTTGCCTGGAGAATCCCAGGGATGGGGGAGCCTGGTGGGCTGCCATCTATGGGGTTGCACAGAGTAGGATACGACTGAAGCGACTTAGCAGCAGCAGCAGCTATATAGTACAATAAAAATCTCAAAACACCTAAAAAATTCGCTGACTCCATTTCCAAAATTTAAGAGCCAATTTTTTCAATTAGCAGTAGTTAACAAAGGTAACACCTACCTTTTTTAACAGTTTTTCATTACACAGCTTTTCACATACTAAAGACACTTCTGAGTTTCCTGGTTCAAGCACTGAGTTAGCTGTCATCTTTCCCAGATTCCTAAGTAATGCTGTGAGAGGCATTTCCTGTAACAAAGCCTTCCATACCTATTGCAATAAAACAGGCAGAAATAAAAGGAATTAAGGGGAAATGAATACATGTAAGATACACATATCAATTAATAATAGTCTTTAAGGCTTTCTTTTGGGGTTTCGGACCACTTTCTAAATAAAAATTTGTGTAGGTTGGTCAAAGACTCATGGAACAAAGTAACTTGCTCTTTATTAGAGTAATAAAGTTAAGTACATTATATTTTGTGAAGGAACTGTATATAAGAATTTTATTTATTTAATTAGCGTGGTAAACTAACCAATACATTTTCTGGAGTGGAGCTAATACTTAAAAATTGCCAACTACAGCTGGGCATTGTGCCCAGGTGTTTTAAATAAATGTTAATTTTAAGATATATTTAAGGTTTTTAGGGAATTCCCTGGTAGTCCAGGGGTTAGCACTTGGCACTTTCACTGCCGGGGGCCTGGGTTCAATTCCTGGTCCCCTGGTCAAGGAACTAAGATCCTACAAAGCATGCAGTATGGCAAAAAAAAAAAAAAAATTTAAGTATTAATATATTTTAAAAGCATTAGCAAAATGTATACTTTTACTACACAGCCTAAGTTCCTCATGTTTACTCATATGCTGGAACATATTATAACTTTCTTACCTCTTTAGACTTTAAGTGATTTGTTAGGAGATGTTCCCTAACCAGTCTGTGCTCTTCTATCAGATGAATGACTTCCAGTTCATCTTTTGTGTGCTTCACTTTCTCTACAGCCTCGAGATACTTTAATAATTTTTCAGCCTCCACAGAAAGCGCTTTTTCTTTATACAGTTCATGGACCTCTTTCCAGCCCTTTGTAATATATTTGGTGACAATAGCAAGTCCTTCAGCAAAATAAAGAATTAAAAAGGCATGTAGGATTAGCAGGTAAAAAACTGGACCTGTTACTGAGAACACCTTCTGTGAATGGTACATCTAGATACACAGGAGTTTAAGCCCGGATGCTACTTCCCATAATATGACAAACACACTTAAGCAAATGGAGTCAACTAATTTTTGCCTATCCCATGAGACTCTGGAGGTAAAACTCTAACCTAATGTGTTTTGAAGTCTAATGACTCCAAAGTCATTTTATTTTTATTTTATTTATTTTTTTTTTTGAAGCAGTAGCATTAGAACCTTTAGTACACGGTGGCTATCTCAGGTCCACAATCTCAATTCACAAAAGTATAGATCTTCCTCAGTTAATCTCATATTCACTTGCCCCTTTACCTGCTAAATAAACATGCATTTGTAAATTACAGAGATAAGTGAAGTGGACAGGTAGGTTTTAACAGCTGAGAAAGTATTACAGGCCTAAATAATGTGTCCATTTCTTCTATAATTCAATAGTTGAAAAAGCTTTGGGTTGGGGGAGTGAGGAAATCTGTGTTCTAGCCTACATGCATGTGTGATCATCTGAAGCCTTAGTTTCCACTTCTGTAAAACAGTGGGAGGACATAATTATTAATTTCAAGATCTACAGGGGGAAGGTAGGTAAAATAAATAAAACAAAGAGGTCATTGATATAATAATAGTGGTCATGACTGTGGTGAATTAAACGGAATATGACTGACAGATATTTTAGTGAAATATTTGGGAAAAAAAAATTGGCTTGGTGCTGCTAAAGGAATGTATTTTCAATATAAGGTACAATATGGATTTTTATGTAATACTGGCAAATAATTCATTTTTCCCCCTAAAATATAGTTCAGGCCAACTAAAATACACCTCTAAGACAGACTGAGCCTGTGTGTTATTTCTGAACTCTAAATAATTTGACTAAAAGTTAGTATCAACATGCGGGAACTTCTAAAATATTGTGACTCTGCTGTCTTACACATCTTAATGTGAAATCTGGAATTCCCTGACAGTCCAGTCATTGGGACTATGTGCTTTCACTGCAGGGGGTGTGGATTCAATTCCTCATGGGGGAACCAAGATCCCACAAGCTCCACAGTACCAATAAATATATATAACAAGCATGAAATTTCTAATAAAAAAATCAAAATATACATGTTTGTGTATACAAATATTTACAGTAGTTTATTGCTTAAATTTCATTTGAAAAAGTTCATTTGTAGTTTTAGAAAAAAGTGGTAAAAGAGGAACTACTGAAGAGCTTCCATGTATGACAACATCACCACACAAGATGTGTAGGAAGGAGAAGCAACCAACACTGCCCTTGTGTCTGAAACTGTGTGTGTAAATATTCTGATACACACTATCACTGTTAGTCACAGTAATTTCAAGGGCTATTCCCTTTCTACCTTTTTTTAATAGACGAAGATACAGAAACTCAGACAGGTTCAGTTACTTGGTATACGGACATACAGTAATAAGTAGAACTGAAATCTGAACTCATCTGAGGGGCTGTCATTTCAAGTTTCACCTCTGCTGAAAGAAAAAATGTCAAATTTGGACATGTTCATTTTATGAGTGTTCACATTAATCCTGTGCAAAAGTCTTTCTTATTTCCCTTCTAAGAAGGACTAAAGAGTCACTGTAATCCAAATAACTTCTCAAAAGTCTCTTCTCTTAGACACAGGAAAACTGCCCCAAGTTACCATGACCCCTGGATGACTGTGTGAGGACAGGTCACATCCTATTTGTTAACTTCAGCACTATTTCAGGTAGCCTTTAGGTTCCATGGAATGTATGTTCAAGGAAGTGCTTAGTTGTTCAGTTGTGTCTGACTCTGGACTGTAGCCCACCAGGCTCCTCTGTCCATGGGATTTTCCAGGCAAGAATACTGGAGTGGGATGCCATTCCCTACTCCAGGGCATCTTCCTGACCCAGGGATCAAACCTGCATCTCCTGCACTGGTTGGTGGATTCTTTACCACTGAGCCACCTAGGAAGCCCCAAGATTTAGAATATCAATCTGCAAATCTGTCATTTGATTCTTAATCATTAATGTGTAGGTGTTTAATTCCAAGTTGGCATTAAACATATGAATTAGTCAATCAATGTCTTATGACTGAAAGACTATTTCTAGAAAATGTTACACAGTTGTCTTATGGCAAATTTATTTGCCATTTACTGGATATCTGTACCTCACCTCTCACCATGAAGATCTCACACTTACCTTCACTGGAAGGTTTAAGATGTGACAGTCTTAACAGATCTTTGTGAGACCAGCCATTTCTCTGTTTGTATTTTGTAACTGCCAGGGCGAGGGCCATGCCACCCTTTTCATTGTACCAGTCTGCTACAGCCTTCCGGAGGGCACGACCCCACATGCCACACTTCATGCTTTCCTTTAGATCTTTCTTAAACTGGATGAAAGTAAAGAGGTGTGTAGGGATGCGACAAACTTCAGGAACAGCTTTGAAGGCAGCTTGTTTGGTGCTTATGTCGGAACACTGGGAGCAAATGGCGAGGGCAAAGAGCGTGGGTTCCTGCTTTGCGGTTCTGCCTTCCTGACTAAAGGACTTTATTTCCTGTATCACTTCACATCCTCTGCCATCTTCAATCAACCTGATTAAAGCTTCAGCATTCTCAAGGCCCAGCTTCTGTTCTTTGATATAGTAAGTCCCACCTTCAGAACCAAAACATAAGAACCGGTGTAGCCGATTCATATCAGTGACTTGCCACACATATCCGCCTTCGGAATTAGCTATCTGCTTCTCATTCAGTGGCTGCATTTGGTTTACAGATTCTTCCATTTTTCTGTCTTTAGGAAGTCTATCAAAAAGCAAAATGTTATTACAAGAAAATAATAGAATTCTGTATCACTGAAAACTACCATTTAACAGAAAACCTTGTAATCACCTTTAAAAATCCAGATGCATTAACAGAATTATCTTGGAATTTTTGGAAAAATACAAATGCCCAAAGTGAAAGTGAAAGCCGCTCAGTTGTGTCCGACTCTTTGAGACCCCATGGGCTATACAGTCCATGGAATTCTCCAGGTCGGAATACTGGAGTGGGTAGCCTATCCCTTCTCCAGGGGATATTCCCAACCCAGGGATCAAACTCAGGTCTCCCACATTTCAGGCAGATTCTTTANCCAGTATCACTATTTTACCCAGGAAAAAAAAAACAAAAACAAAATACTACAGCTAGATAGAAATGATAAAGACTATAAAAAGGAAAATCATTTATTACTCTAGGCTTATTGAAATCTGCTATGAAAAATTTTAATTTAAAAGTATTGTTTAAGTAAGTTATGGTATGATGATCAGAAGTGACAGTCAGGAAGTTGCATTTTTGATGTAGTTTGCTGCTCCAGAGTCTGAGCAGGCAGCTTGGAGTGGAGTCCACAGGAGCAGACAGAGGAGAGGAAAAGGGGTGGGGGTGGGGCAGTAATGGTCTCTGACACAGTGACTGCAGACAAGCTCTACTTATGTACCCAAAATCTGTTCCTCCCTCCCCGTTTCTAACTACTATCCTCTTTCTGGTAGTAACCTCCTTCAGGGGACAGTCCCCAGCCCCAAGGGATGAATCTTGATTGCTCTAAGCCAGTGGTTCTCACAGTCTATGGGCATCAGAATTACTCGAAGTGCTAGTTTAAACATAAAGTGATGGGTCCCACTCACCCTGTTCCCCCCAAGTTTCTTTCACAATTCAGAATGTCTGGCTGAGGCCCGAGTTTTGGTACCAGTTACGAGTCCCCAGGTGATGCTCTCACTCCTCTTGCCATGTGACTGGTACAGGTATTGGGCAAGTATCACAGCTCCTACCAGTGAGACACGATAAATCTGCTGGTAATACTTTGGAGGTCTCCTTCCCTCTTAAAAAGGGGCCTGGACTCTTAAAAAGGCATGTTCTCTAAAAGAAACAAAAGACCTATATATAGAAAACTATAAAATACTGATGAAAAAAATCAAAGATGACACAAATAGATGGAGACATATACCATGTTCATGGATCAGAAGAATCAATACAGTGAAAATGAGTATACTACCAAAAGCCATCTATAGATTCAATGGAATCCTTATCAAGCTACCAATGGTTATTTTTCAGAGAACTAGAACAAATAATTTCACTATTTGTATGGAAACACACAAAAAACCTCAAATAGCCAGAGCAATCTTGAGAAAGAAGAATGGAACTGGAGGAATCAACCTGTCTGACTTCAGACTATACTACAAAGCTACAGTCATCAAGACAGTATGGTACTGGCACAAAGACAGAAATATAGATCAATGGAACAGAATAGAAAGCCCAGAGATAAATCCACGAACCTATGGTCACCTTATCTTCGACAAAGGAGGCAAGGATATACAATGGAAAAAAGACAACCTCTTTAACAAGTGGTGCTGGGAAAACTGGTCAACCACCTGTAAAAGAATGAAACTAGAACACTTTCTAACACCATACACAAAAATAAACTCAAAATGGATTAAAGATCTAAATGTAAGACCAGAAACTATAAAACTCCTAGAGGAGAACATAGGCAAAACACTCTCCGACATAAATCACAGCAGGATCCTCTATGACCCACATCCCAGAATTTCAGAAATAAAAGCAAAAATAAACAAATGGGACCTAATGAAACTTAAAAGCTTTTGCACAACAAAGGAAACTATAAGCAAGGTGAAAAGACAGCCCTCAGATTGGGAGAAAATAATAGCAAACGAAGCAACAGACAAAGGATTAATCTCAAAAATATACAAGCAACTCCTCCAGCTCAACTCCAGAAAAATAAATGACCCAATCAAAAAATGGGCCAAAGAACTAAACAGACATTTCTCCAAGGAAGACATACAGATGGCTAACAAACACATGAAAAGATGCTCAACATCACTCATTATCAGAGAAATGCAAATCAAAACCACAATGAGGTACCATTACACGCCAGTCAGGATGGCTGCTATCCAAAAGTCTACAAGCAATAAATGCTGGAGAGGGTGTGGAGAAAAGGGAACCCTCTTACACTGTTGGTGGGAATGCAAATTAGTACAGCCACTATGGAAAACAGTGTGGAGATTTCTTAAAAAACTGGAAATAGAACTGCCATATGACCCAGCAATCCCACTTCTGGGCATACACACCGAGGAAACCAGATCTGAAAGAGACACGTGTACCCCAATGTTCATCGCAGCACTGTTTATAATAGCCAGGACATGGAAGCAACCTAGATGTCCATCAGCAGATGAATGGATAAGAAAGCTGTGGTACATATACACAATGGAATATTACTCAGCTATTAAAAAGAATGCATTTGAATCAGTTCTAATGAGGTGGATGAAACTGGAGCCTATTATACAGAGTGAAGTAAGTCAGAAAGAAAAACACCAACACCATATATTAATGCATATATATGGAATTTAGAAAGACGGCAATGATGACCCTATGTGCAAGACAGCAAAAGAGACACAGATATAAAGAACAGACTTTTGGATTCTGTGGGAGAAGCCAAGGGTGGGATGATTTGAGAGAATAGCATTGAAACATGTATATTACCATATGTGAAATAGATCACCAGTCCAAGCTTGATGCATGAAACAGGGCACTCAAAGCCGGTCTACTGGGATAACCCAGAGGGATGGGATGAGGAGGGAGGTGGGAGGGGGATTTGGGACAGGGGGACACATGTACTCCTGTGACTGATTCATGTCAATGTATGGCAAACCCCACAATATTATAAATACAAGTAAATCCAATTAAAATAAATTAATAAAAAAAGGAAAATAAAAAAGGCATGTTCTTTCTGCCTCGAGATACTCGTTTGAAGCACATGATGCCTGAAGTGGTGTCAGCTATCTTGAGTCATGGGGGGACCCAGTTTAAGATGACATACAAATAAGGATGGCAGAGCCAGAAAAGATAAAAAAAAAAAAAAAGAAAAAAAAAGTATAGGCCATTGATACTATGAATTTACCTGGAACTTAGAAATGTACTAATATCATATATTAATAAATGTACTAATATCATATGTTAATAAATGTACTAATAAATGTAATTAATAAATGTACTAATATCATAGTGTGTTAGTGTTAGCTGCTCAGTCGTAGCTGACTCTTTGCAACCCCATGGACTGTAGCCCGCCAGGCTCCTCTATTCATGGGATTTTCCAGGCAAGAAGACTGGAGTGGGTTGCCATTTCCTTCTCCAGGGGATCGTCCCAACCCAGGAATCGAACCCAGGTCTCCTGCATTGCAGACATATTATTTACTCTCTGAGCCACCAGGGAAGCCTAAAATATCATAAGTGTATCTTTATTGTTTAAGTCGTTTATAGGTTTTCTGTTACCTGTAGCTGAGAGCATTCTGATTAACATCCTGTATCAACAGTGCTCATTTATAGTCTGTGTCATCTGTAACTACCCACATTTTCCTCCTTCCATTATCTCTAAAGCCACGAGAACTGACTGTCTGGCAGCAGTATCACTGTGTCTCCTCCTGACAGAGTAACCACAGTCGCCCGCTGCTTCCCGCTGCTGTTCTCCACACAAATGTTTACTCTCAGGCCTCCTGCCTGCACCACCACAGGTGCACTAGGCTTCTCCCCATGGCCAACACCACGATGACACAGCCAGCAAAAATCCCCAACCAGCATCTACTGCATACTGTGTGTAAGGCATGAAGGAGATCGCTCTTCCATTAAAAATAAGATTTTCAAAACTTTTCCTGCCCTCAGGGAAATCACAGTCTGTATGATGTGGTAGAAATTTATGTATTCCTCAATTTAAATTTATATACAATTATGCACAACTTTATATACAATTGATAAAGCACTCGTAATCAAGTGCTTTAATAGAAAAGTGAATAAGCAGAGGAAGAAAAACTAATGCTGTCTCAGTAACCCAGGAAGGCTGAAAAACTGGTATATAAAGTTTGGGGAATGCATTCCAGGAAGGGGTATCTGTAATCTTGCTCTGTGTCTTTAAAGTTTAGAAAAGGAAGTAAGAATACTGCAAAGAAATGTTGACAGGTAAGGCAGTAAAATAAAGAGGCAAAAGAAAATTTTTTTGAAGACGATAAAACTATAAGCATGTTTATATACTGTAGGGAAGGCTAAAGATAGAATCCTGGTGAATATCAACAATTAAAAGCTAAGCAGAAAAGGGTCCTTTAAAGGAGAAATAGGAGAGGCCCACAGACTTTAAATCAAGAGAAAGTGGTATCACAGATCGTAACAGTTTCACAGAGTGCATTCACTGGTAACCTCAAACACTTGGTAATCAAGTAAATAAGGCTGAAACTGGCAACAGGAATGCTGAAGAGAGGCAATCGCAATCAGGGGCTGTGAGAAGCTTGATTCCAGTGTGGTGAAGAGGGCACACAGCAAGGAAGAGCCTTCACGGGTAAATGCTCTTTCATAGAAGGAAAGTTATAAAGGCAAGGGAAAAGCAAAGGTGGGAGATAGAGGAAAAATCTTTTTGCTTTTTCAGATGAGAGGACAGGAGGCTGCCGTTGGAAGTTTAATCTGGAGAGTTGAAGGCAGTGGAGGAAAGGCGTTCAGTGAGGCGATGAGATCCCTGAAAGCCGCTCGGAGCATCCACAGGGAGACTGGCCTTGACAGTAAAGGAGCTGCCCCCTCCCAAGGGTGAAGGTGTCGGGAAAGGGCCCCTCTGAGGGAAAAGAGAAGCAAGGAAAGACGGAGTTCCCAGTGGAGAGGTGAGTCTGGTGAGTAAGACTGGGTCTCAGAGTGGGGAACACACAGTGCTTGCGAGAAGGTAAGTAAAGAGTGTTTGGGAGAAAGCCTCACAGTTCTGAATGTGACTGAGGGGGACAGAGATTTGGATTGTGTGGAAATAGGTTATCAGTAGTTGAGTAAGGCTCTGATACAAAGTAGTGAATGTCAGGGCAGGCCTCCCCCTCAGGTGGTGTGGAGAGGTGGTGGTCACATTGTATCAGTCTCTGGGGACCGAGAGCAGCACAGGCTGGTGTGGTGGATGGTGCTTTTTCTATGTATTCTTAACCTCTCTTCAACACGGCATTTACCTCTTCTTTTCAATCCAAAAAGACTAACTGCCTTCTCAAAGACTGACAACATTAATAGCTAATTCCAGTAGAAATTATTATTTTGATTTTTATACTGCATTTGACATTTGTGGCCCCTCCTTTAGATTTTACAGAAACATACTCTCTCTGGTGTTACTTCAACCTGGCCATTCTTGCTTACTAGTTATGTTTGTTGGATGAGTGTGAAATGACATTCAATTATTAGATTATACTACTACCCCAGCTTTCCTGGACCAAGGCCCTGGTGGTGAGGGTTCAAGTTCCCAATATAAACCTCAAAACCCCCTCCTCTCCAAATTTTCCCTTGTATTATATTCTTTGTGACACGTCCAGCTAACATAATGGTTCCCGTGAGAGTGGGGACCAGGTCTTACTTGTGTACACAATCACTCCTCTAGAATATCATTTTAAAATAATTACTAATATATATTTAAGAATAACTAAGCAGGGCTTCCCTGGTAGTTCAGCTGGTAAAGAATCTGCATGCAATGCAGGAGAACCCAGTTCAATTCCTGGGTTGGGAATATCCCCTAGTGGAGGGCATGGCAAACCACTCCAGTATTCTTGCCTGGAGAATCCCTATGGACAGAAGAGCCTGGAGGGCTACAGTCCATGGGGTCACAAAGACTTGGACATGACTGAGCAACTACACACAGGACAACACCAGTAACATTAAAGTTGATTTTTCTGAACCATTTATCTAAGTATTATGCATGACTTGTTTTTCTTTCCTGTAACGTTTACTTTAAAAATAAGTCTCAATGCATGCAATTAAAAACATAATTCTTTAACATAAATTCTGTAATCAGAATAAAATAATAAACATACTATATGCAGGTAACAGAAATACAGTTAAGAAAAATAAAACATGAAAAAGTTACAAAGTAATGAGTTCTGAGTAAAAAAGT